CTGAAAGGCAAGCTGGAGAACGGCCTTTACACATTGGCCGGAAGCACCATTGTTGGCTCTGCAAATGCATCTACAGTGCAGTTATCTAATGATGACAAGGCAAGACTATGGCACATGAGACTAGGTCATATGAGCGCACGTGGACGGGAGATGTTGAGCAATCGTAAACTTTTGGAAGGTGAGAAGATCAGCACGCTTGACTTCTGTGAGCACTGCGTTCTAGGGAAGCAGAAGAAGGTCAGCTTCAGCACTGGCAAACACAAGACAAGAGGAGTGCTAGACTACATCCATTCAGATTTATGGGGTCCTTCTAAACTTCCATCGAAGGGCGGAAAGAGGTATCTTCTCATTTTTATTGATGATTTCTCACGAAAGGTTTGGGTGTATTTTTTGAAGGCAAAAAGTGATGCTTTTGAAGCATTTAAAGAGTGGAAGATTTTGGTTGAAAATCAAATGGAGCGGAAAATCAAGTATCTTCGCACAGACAATGGCTTGGAGTTTTGCAATGAAGAGTTTAATGAATTCTGCAAGGTTCATGGGATCTCAAGACATAGGACTGTCAGGCATACCCCACAGCAGAATGGAGTTGCCGAGAGAATGAACAGAACTCTTCTTGAAAAGGCTCGTTGTATGCTCCTACAAGCCAAAATGTCCAAAGTATTTTGGGCTGAAGCAGTTCACACTGCTGCTCATATTGTCAATCGATCTCCAGCATCGGCAATTGACTTTAAGACTCCGAATGAGGTATGGTCAGGTGAACCCTCTAACTATTCATACTTACGAGTATTTGGGTGTCCAGCTTATTATCACGTTAATGAAGGAAAGCTTGAACCAAGGGCTAAGAAGGCCATATTCGTAGGGTATGTGGATGGAGTAAAAGGGTACAAACTTTGGTGTTTGTCTTTACTCAAATTTATAGTTAGTAGAGATGTCACCTTCGATGAATCCTCTATACTTGATCCCCGTAAAGTTTCCGTGGAGTTTTCAGGAAACAAGAACAACGAGCAGGTGGAGCTTCCGGTGGAGCTTGCCAAGGAAAAGGATCAAGAGACTCAGGTTAAAGATGAGTCAGAAGATGTAGGCGTTGAAGAACTTGCTGTCAATGAACCATACACAATTGCGAAGGGGAGGGAGAAGAGGCAGACACGAGAACCGGAACGCCTTATAAATCAAGCAAACTTGATTGCATATGCGTTCGTAGCTGCACAAGAAGAGATTAAAGATCTGGAGCCCTCCTCGTATATTGAAGCAACTTCTTGCAAGGATGCCGCACAATGGCGGTTAGCCATGACTGAAGAGATGGAGTCTCTTCACAAGAATCAGACATGGGTCTTAGTGAAAAGACAAAAGGGGAAGAGGACAGTTGGATGCAAGTGGGTCTACCGAAAGAAAGAGGGAATTCCTGAAGTGGAAGATGCTAGGTTCAAGGCGAGATTGGTTGCAAAAGGTTTCAGCCAAAAGGAGGGAATTGACTACAATGAGATTTTCTCTCCGGTCGTGAAGCATAGCTCAATTCGCGTGCTACTAGCATTGGTTGCACAATTTGACTTGGAGCTTCAACAGCTTGATGTCAAAACTGCTTTCTTACACGGTGATCTAGAAGAGACAATCTATATGGATCAACCTGAAGGTTTCCTAGCTGAGGGAAAAGAAGATCACGTATGCCAACTAAAGAAGTCTTTGTATGGTTTGAAGCAATCCCCTAGACAGTGGTACAAGAGGTTTGATGCATTCATGACTACACATGAATTCTCAAGGAGTGCATTTGATAGTTGTGTGTATCACAAGAAGATGTCTGGTAACTCAATGATTTATTTACTGTTGTATGTTGATGATATGCTTATTGCTGCTAACAACATTACAGAGATAAATGCTTTGAAGAAACTATTGAGTAAGGAATTTGACATGAAGGATTTAGGAGCTGCAAAGAAAATCCTTGGTATGGAGATTTCAAGAGAAGACGATGTTGTACATCTTTCTCAGAAGAGGTATATTGAAAGGGTTCTCGAGAGATTCAATATGCAAACGTGCAAGCCTGTAAGTACACCATTAGCTCCTCATTTTAAACTTTCAGAGTCACAAATGCCTCAGTCCGAGGATGAGGTGGAGCATATGTCAAAGATTCCTTATGCCAGTGCAGTTGGTAGTATTATGTATGCTATGGTATGCACACGTCCAGATATTGCTCAATCTGTAAGTGTGGTAAGTAGATACATGTCCAACCCAGGAAAGAGGCATTGGGAAGCTGTCAAGTGGATATTGAGATATCTCAAAGGAGCTTCTGGTGTTGGTCTTACCTTTCGAAAAAGTGGTACAGGTATTTCAATTCTCGGTTATGTGGATTCTGACTATGCAGGAGATCTTGACAGAAGAAGGTCCACAACTGGATACATCTTTACCCTCGTTGGCAGTGCCGTCAGTTGGAAGTCGACTTTGCAGTCGATTGTCGCTTTGTCTACGACAGAAGCAGAATACATGGCAGCAGCGGAGGCGGTAAAGGAAGCTATCTGGTTGAAAAGTTTAGTAGCGGAATTGAGTTTGGTTCAGCTGGAATCAACTCTTAGATGTGATAGTCAGAGTGCTATTCATCTAATGAAAAATCAGAGATTTCATGAGCGCACTAAACACATTGATGTCAGATTTCATTTTATTCGAGATGTTATTGATGAGGGAACTATCAAGGTCGTGAAGGTTATCACAGACGATAATGCTGCAGACATGTTGACCAAGATAGTCCCGCTCGCTAAGTTTGCACACTGCAAGGACTTGGCGGGGGTGTGCATCAACTGATGCAACTCCGAAGAGAACAGTTGCTAGGTGGAGGTGGTATGTTCAACAATGGTTTGATTCTTCTTGTTTCTTACAACGGGGTTGCCCAGTAAGCTTAGAAGTTTTGGCCAGAGTTGTTCACACGCTCGAAACGCAAACCAAGGTGGAGATTGAAAATGTTGGTTTATGTTTAGTTAACAATGGCATGCTGAAAATGTTGGTTTATGTTTAGTCAACAATGGCATGCCAATTGGAAGAGTTGGTGGAAAGAGTTGGTGTGGATGCTAGGAGGAAGCTTCCTCCTTTGATGTCACCCATGACATCAAGAGGAGGTAGTTTGATGTCACCAATGACATCAAGAGGAGGTCTTTACCTCTATAAATAGATGCACTCCTTCACTTGTAGAAATCATCCCAAAATAATACAATACATTGTAGTGAGTAGAGAGTTAAGAGAGAAATTCTCTTAAGTGTAATTGGGAAATCTCCCCTTCCTTTGTTAATATTAAAAAGGGCAATTGTTCTCTGGTGGACGTAAGATTATTTTGATCCGAACCACGTTAAATCTTGTGTTCTTTCTTTTACGTTTCCGCTAACAAATATCTTAGGATACAGATGTTTAGGTCAGTTGGCACTTTGGTGCAAAATGGAAGATGTATATGAAGAGAATAGCATGATAGATGTTAATAAAATTCCTTACAGTAGTGATTTTTCTACAGGGCTTTTAGTGATTTTTGTACAGGAACTATCAACTTTTTTTAGGGACCCTTACATCTATGTACAGGGATCTTCAAACCTTTGTAACACAAACACCCAAAACAATCTTATATTAGATAAGCATATATTACCTAAACCTTGTGGGATTGACATCCCGTCATCATTATATAAACTTGAACGACTAGTGTACTTGCTAGTGTATTGATCTTGTTATTGTATATGCTTGAACGACTAGTGTACTTGCTAGTATTGAGTTCATGTCACATAACACTCCCGTAACTCCTCCATTTTGGCACACACACATAAAATTGAATTAGAAAAACTATTACGAGGGAAACAAGAGTAGTTTTATAAATTACATGCCTGCATATATATTAAATTCCCGTCTACCAACTGCAATAAATAGTTTTATAAATGACGTGCCTGCAAATAAAAAAACTCCCTTCTACCAACTGCAATAAATTGCTTTGCAGTCATTTTCACTAGGTCATTAGACAAATGAAGGAACAAGTTCCCTATTATTATCTGCTTCTCCCACTGTTTTCGTGTATATACTCATAGGACAAAAAAAAGATATTACATACCAAGCCTTTAACAGAAAGAAATATGAAACTCACATGAGAGGCCAGAAAAAATCTTACTTCCCGGTGTAGTCAAAGCAGTGGAAACTCTCCTCAACAAGACGAATATTCAACTGTGGTTGCCGTTCCATCAACTATGGCAACAAAGAGAAGGAAGAATCAAGCAGAAAGCTCAAAATTATCCATGCATACATGCAGTGTAAGCTCTCTTAAGGAATAAATTAATTACACTGTTTCTGAAATATCTGAAGTTACCTTGTAGATGAGAGCACTGTAGACCATGTTCGGAAGATATGCTAAGGTTGTGCCACTGTCAATTATTGTCATACTGGATTTCGTGTTGAAGATGGTTGTGGGAATGTCTAGAACTTCACCACCAACCTCAATTCCTTTCATAACAACATTATAATGTGGCCTAAAAAGAAGGCAAATATTTTAGTTAATAGTTCAGAATAGTGTAGTGTAACAAAGGAAACATTTCAAAGGATAACAGTAAATAGGTGAGGCTAAAATCATGTAATCAAAGCAAGAAAAATAAATAACAAAAAATAGACCAGAAGTCACAACTTCAAAACTCAAGCTTGAAACCAAGTAATTAAAAATATGCAGCATCAGCGAGTGAATCGAGAGAGTTTTAAACTCCTTACACTAGGTAGACTTTTTAAAATCCAATAGCAGAGATAGGAGACAATAATCTGCACTGGAAGTACTTTATAATTTCAAAAGTCAATGTTAGATAGTTATGTATAAATAATCCTAGTCCCATATGTAGTAGGAATCGAATATGTCCTAGTCCCATATGTAGTAGGAGTAGAATATGTATTATATATAGAATTCAGTGTATCATTGTTATTCAATAATAGATTTTTCCGCTTTGCATTCTCACAGTCAACATATATATTCTAGTCTCATCTTAGTGCCTTATGGGCGCTAACTTAGCTATTCGCTACCAAGGTGCAATGCCAGCTCTAACATTGTCTCTATTACAAGGTTGTAACTACAGTACAACCATACATGACCCTTCTTTTCCCTTGTTTCCAATAACTATAGTATTTTCTTTGTCCCTAATATAAAAGTTTATTTTATCATACTAGACTGTCTCAGTCCTCCTTCCTGAAAAGAAAGCTTAAATGAAAGCCACTTGACTCTTAATACATCACTTTTTATTCCATTCTATAGAAAACATTACATCTATGAATCCTAAAAATATCATTCTTGGAAACAGTAATACTATCAATTCATCCGACAGCCTTCAGCTATTACAGAACTTTTAGCAAAAACTTTGCTTCCGTTGGATAGTCTTAATTTGAACCTTATGGTCCCTCTCTGCTTTTCATCCTAAAAAGTCTTTATTTTCAATTTTTTCTCAAGCCTATATTGATCTTGATTCAATATTAAGGCAATCTCCATAGTGAACTCCCTTTAACCCAAGAATTTCTTAACTTTTTCAGTCCTAAATGTAATCTATTTGAGAACTAGAAGCTGCTGCAAAATCTGTCCTGCACTAATTAATTTTGTCTAGTTTTTATATTTGTAGACCACCTATTAAAAGGGAGACTAGTAGAGCAAGAATCCAACTAAGATGCCATATTGTGGATGAAGGTCCATATCACTGAACCAGGGGGATGCAAATATCAACACAAACAGATGCATTATAACATTTTGCATTAAATGTTTGAGCAATTGTCCATTTACCATATTTATTTATTTACCAGAGACATGTTTGAGAAATTTTGCATAAAAAATCAACACAAATAGATGCATTATTTATTTATTGATAAACGAAAAATCCCTGAGGACCAGTGGCGTGCAGTTTGAAACTCGGTAGATAATGGGTCTGCCTCTTTACTCTTCTCCCCTTAAGACTTTTGTCTACGGTAGAATTTGAACTAGCGGCGTGCGCCTAACCCACAATTAATGTAATGCGCTCTCACCACCAGATCAAAGCTCAGGGGGCCATTTACCATCTTTATTTATTTTTTAAGAAACAAGGGGTTCTGATAGTAAAAATACTTACAAATCGGGGACTAGTGGAGTTGAATTTACTTTTGGCTGAACTACTTGTCCAATGGTAAATATGCCACCTCCATTCTTTCCATCTAGGCAATGTGCAAATATTTTCTTCACCTTCCCGGCTGCAGCTAGCTGCGAAATAACTGATGAACTTGCTTGTCCAAAACCAAGTATTCCATCAACTGCTTGACTAGGATTACTTAGTTCTTGTCTAGACGAGCACCTGCGTTGGATAAAAAAGATGTGAGCTACCACATGTCATTTAGAGATAAATTACCTGCCTGAACAGACTACATTATATTGCAATCTTGAGTAGCATCAATTACATCTTATGGAGAAGTTCAAATAAATTGAGAAGTGCGGCATGGAACTTGGTGAAGTAAAACAGAGACTACACAGAGAGAGTTGACACTTAGTAAAGCTTATAAACACCAGATTAATGTATTGAATTACAGATCAAAATTATATTAGTCATCCAAGTTTATCAGTTAATTTATTCAGCAAAAATAGGCATAGGAAATTTTTAATCACAAGGATTAGCAACTTATATGTTAGTCATCCAAGTTGATCAGTTATTTGCTCATCAACAATAGGATTATTTTAATCATATTTTAATCAGAAGGGTTAGAAGATTACCCAAATGCTATAGACCCGTTCATAGATGTTGTTTTTAGGTCTCCTGACACTTGATCAAACCGAATATCATCCTTTACAAAGAATCCTGAGGTTGAGCTTCCATCTCCATAACTAACCTGATAATCACATGGCATTCCCACCTTGCAATCCGAGTAGGGAGTATTAAGCATGCAAAACTCTTCGTCACAAGAAACAGATTTTGCAGTTGTAGAGGCCTTCAAGTCATATGACGCCAAGTCTATCTGTAAGGTAATAAATCAATTGAATAAGTACATGACATGTGTCTATGAATAACAGAACTAGCATCCATTATCTGCACTAAGAAAGAGAAGTATAACACATAAATTGGAAGAAGAATCATACCCCGAGATCGCTTTTTGTAGGACATCCCTCACAGCCAGCACAGTTCACCCATAAAATGTCACTGCCAGTATCAACCTGGACATGATATTCCTTCGAAGGCGTTCCAATTGATAACTTAGTGTAATAGAGCCTGCATCATTTATATATAAGGAAAATGCATAAACACAATGGCAAAGGATAATATGAGCATTCATCATTTCTCCACCACCACCACAATATGAAGTCATGCCCTGCATGTCCCCAGCAATTTTTGTTTATATATTTAATTTTTGGAGGTGAAGTTGGGTGAAGGGGGGCTGCATTTTGAACAACAAACCTTTAAAACTTATTGTGGTAAACAACTACCAATCACTGAGCTAGACAAAGAAGCAATGATATCAGTTAGTCATAATGTTGAGAAACAAAGCTGCATACTTTCTAAAAACTTCAACACCCTGTCCCCCTCTTAAGAAAGAATGAATACAAGAAACACCTACTATCACTATCAAATTATCAACAATCAAACCTTAAACTGTTTTAACACGTTAGATAATGGAAAAACATAGTAATTGAGAGAAGCTAATATGATAGAGAAAACATCTAATCAAAGATTGATTTTTTTTTTGATAACCGAGAAATCCCCGAGTGCAAGTGGAGCATGGTCCGAACCTCGGTGGATAATGGACTCGCCCCTCTGCTCTTCTCCACTTAAATCAAAAATTGAAATTTGAAGTCTATATCAAACGTCCCAACACAGAGAGAGTATGAATTATCAAAAACCTATGCAAAGGAGACAACTTTTCATACAACAACAACAACATCTAGGACTCAATTCTGAGTAAGAAATTTTCACTTAGCTAAAGCTATCCGGACGTTCTTTTCATGTGAATATTTTTAATTGGGTTTAAACTTTAAAGGAAACAACTTTCTGTACATAAAAAAAAAACTTGCAGACACGGTGGCGGAGCCAGGAATTCTATTAAGGCGGTTCCAAAATATGCCACAATGCATCTTCGTCACTACACTAAAAGCTTCACTTATATCAAGGGGATTCAAAAACTTATATTCATACAAAACACTACTCTACTTGCATGGTATAATTTTAAGGACGAGGGGATTCAATAGAACCCCTTCCTTATATGTGGCTCCGCCACTGCCAAGACATGATAAATTAGGAGACAGAGAGAGTAGTAATTATGAAAAACCTAATACATAAACAAAATGCAGACATATAACATGTAGTATATAAATTGCCCAAAAAAACAATTGGAAAAAAAAAACAGAGAAGGGGAACTAACGCGGCATCAGTGGGAGAGCCATTGCCACCCAATTTGAATTCAACGGAGGTGAGCATTCTGCCGTGACGGCGGCTATCATGCGCTTTAAGATCATTCAAAATCGACCCTTTATTACGCCCACCATATTTATGCTTCACATTGAACACCAAATTTTCACCCTTCACAGCTACTACCAAAACCAACAACGAAAATATCAAACACCCATTTCTCCTTCGATCCATTTTCTTCCCCATTTATGCAACATTCACACAAACCCACATCTCAAATTGATGTGATGTGTATCCGTTGATTTTGAATCTTGAGAAGGAAGAGAAAAGTAAGGAATTCTCAATTTTCCTTACATTACTCTTGAAGAAAAATGTAGCAAGAAAAGAAAATTTAATTTTTTTTTCTTTCTCTCTCGAGCGTGACCAGAGAGAGAGAGAGAGATCGAGAGGAAAGAGACAAGTGGATTGATCATAATTTGGTAAACGGAAGAAACGTTCTGCCCGAAAATGAAGGAAAGCTACGAGGGGAAGTTTTTCTCTAAGAAGAATTTTCATGCAAATACGTTATTTCATGCTCCGCGTTTTGGGAAAATGTTCAAATTTGAACTTGTACTAGTTTTAGAAATTATTTAATTTTTTCCTTGGTAAAAAAATTTAGTCCATTATTCTTACCATTAATGGAGCTCCAACATAAAATGGGTGAATTTCACATATTCAAATTCTTCGATAAAAATGATTCGAAATTACTACTAGTCTACTACAATTGATTATGGCTTAAAATAACCCTCAAGCTGGTGTCATGATAGGGATAAAGGGATTGAGACTTTCAACCGTAAAACTTGAGCAATTTCGATAGTATATGCCAAAATTTGATCATCTTATTTAAAAGATTTTTTCATTTTTTATAGGACAATAATAATATTCAAGAAATTAAATAATTCTTTATTGCAGTTTTAAGAAATTTTTAATGATAAATATTGTGATTTATATATTTAACATATAGTTGTCAAATATATTACTTTTATTGCTAAAAATCATTTATAATTTGAATCAAGACGGAAATATTTTAACCTAATATTGTATGGACTACCGTCCATACAATATTACTTTCTCCATGTGCTTCTCGTACATGGACGAATCAAAAGATGAAAATATTTTTAATGTGAGATTAGTTTTTCATGAGACGGCTTTTCTTATAACTCTACTGTAACAAACCCCAGTGAAAGACATGCTGGACAAAAGCGAAGTAACAGAGTAGTGCACCCTCCAAAATACCTGAAAGAATTTGTGGTCCCCAAAAAGGACTAGGCTGCTAGTACATTGAGAGATAAGGCCACAATAGAGCAAACACCTGAGGAAGACACTCCTATAAAAATTCAGAAGGAGCTAGCAATTAGGGTAGATAATTGAGTCTTGTCTTTTATCTTCAATTTTTAGTTATAGCTAGTTCTGGAACCTCCCTCCTTCTGCAATTTTTTTGTTTTCTCTTTCAATTTTGATGTTTTCAGTCGAGGATTAAGAGTGAATCTTTGGTTCTTGTAATCCTTTGATTTGAGTTAATACAAGTTTGTTCCATTTGGTGCTCTCGTTGAACCTCTTCTCCAAATGGGTGATCCTCTGATGACTCGATTGAAATCTTTAAACAACGACGTAGCTCAGATTAAGGACCAACTAGCTCTACACTCCCAGAATTTCGACGCCATCTCTCCTGCGTTGTCTGAGATGCAGGGTCAATTACATATTCTAACTGCCGGGAAACAACATCAACCCATTCCAACCACATCAAAGAACCCTAGCCCTTCCCTGTTAGGAAGCGTGTCAAGCTAATAGAAGGAAAAGAATATTTAAGAGAGAAAAGCAATAAATTTCACAAGACAAGACAAGATTTACGTGGTTCGGCAATTTTTACCTACTCCACGGCCGCACAAAGAATAACTCTTATTAATTGAAGACAGAAAGAAGAAGTTTTGGGATGATCTACAAATGAAAATGTAGACCCCTATTTATAGGCATTTGAATGCCCTGCCAAGGTAAGCGCGTACATCATAAGAATACTGAGGTAAGCGCTTACATCACAAGAATGTCGAGGTAAGCGCTTACATCACAAGAATGCTGAGGTAAGCGCTTACATCATATTTTCATCTCTTTTTGATTTTTCTTTCTTTTGTTTTGTCTACTTTCATATACAACAATATGTTTGCTCCTATCAATCTCCCCCTCAAACCTATGTTACATCAAGAAAGAATTTTTTTTTGCTATTCTCTGGTGGTGCCTTCACGCTATTAGTCTTGAAGGCTAACTGAGGCAGTGCACAACCTCAGTTTGTCAACACCGACAACTTTGATCAACATGTCTGACGGGTTCTTTGATCTTGGTATCTTCTGCAGGAAAAGAGTTCCTTCATTTATCAACTCTCGGATATGATGATACCATAACTGGATATGCTTCGATCTTGCATGAAACACTGGATTCTTGGCAAGATGAATTGCACTCTAGCTATTGCTGAAAAGCTCACAATTGTCTTGCTCTTTACCTATCTCTTTAAGAAAATTCTTGAGCCAAATCATCTCTTTTCTGGCTTCTGAGATTTCCATGTACTCCGCTTTAGTGGTAGATAGAGCAACACTTTTCTGAAGTCTGGACATCCAACTAACATCAATACCACCCAAGGTGAACACGTAGCGCGTGGTACTTTTTCGACTATCCAGATCGCCGCCTAAATTTGCATCAGCAAAACCTTATAAGATAATATTGCTCTTTTTAAAACAAAGTGCCATACCTGAGGTGCCTTTGAGATATCGCAATATCCATTTTACACCTTCCCAATGCTCTTATCCTGGATCTGACATATATCTACTGACAACTCTAACTACATGAGTTATGTTAGGTCTAGTGCAAACCATAGCATACATCAAACTTTCTACTGCTGAAGCATGCGTAACTTTGGACATGTACTTCCTTTCTTCATCTGTCTTAGGTGATTGGTCCTTTGACAGATTTAGATGGCTTCCGAGTGGAGTGCTTCTGGTCTTTGCATCATGAAGACTGAACCTGCTTAGTACCTTCTGTATGTACTTTTCTTGAGACAACTTTAAGGTTCCTTCCGACCTGTTTCTGCTAATCCCCATCCGAAGCATTTGCTTAGCTGCTCCTAAGTCTTTCATATCAAACTCCTCCGCCAGTTGTTACTTAACCAAATTGATCTCATTTATGCTAGATCCTGCAATTAGCATATCATCAACGTACAATAGTAAAATGATATAGGATTCATCAAGATTTTTGATATAACAACAATGGTCCATCTCATATCGTGTGAAACCATTTTTATGCATGAATCCATAAAATGTCTTGTACCATTATTGGGGAGCTTGTTTTAAACCATACAAACTCTTCTTCAACTTACACACAAGGTTTTCTTTACCAGAAACTTGAAAACCTTCAGGTTGCTTCATGTAGTGGCTTCTTCAAGGTCACCATGCAAGAAAGCAATTTTAACATCTAGCTGCTCTAAATGCATATTTTCTACAGCTACGATACTTAGCACCAACCTGATAGTAGTTAATTTGACTACATGAGAGAGGTTCTCAGTGTAGTCAATTCCTTCCTTCTGTTGAAAGCCTTTTACTACTAATCGTGCTTTGTATCTCTTCTTACCATCATGCTCTTCCTTGACTCTGTACACCCACTTGTTCTGCAATGCCTTCTTTCCTTTTGGTAACTCCGTAAGTATCCATGTTTTATTCTTTTGAAGAGAATTCATCTCTTCTTTCATGGCTAGCTTCCACTTATCAGAGTCTATCACCTGCATTGCTTCAAAAAAATGCTCTGGTTCTCCAGCATCAGTTAGAAGTAAATAGTGAAGAGAGAGAGAGTTAACCTATCTGGAGCATTCGTGACTCTTTTAAATCTCCTCAATGTAGGTTCATGAGTAACTGAATCCGAATTTGATTCAGGTCCTAATTCCAGATTTGGTTCTGCATTTGATTCTATCTCTGGTTCCGGTTCTGGTTCTGATCCAGGTTTAGCTTCTAGTTCTTCTTTAAATTCGGCTTCTAGTTCTTCATCTTCAATTTCAGAATCAACTGTAATCCCTCTAGCCACTTCATTTTCTGAGATTTCTTCTAACTCAACTGTTTTAGACATTGTCTGTTTGCTGGTGTTGGTTGGTTCTACTTCAAGCTTGTCCTTGTACATCACATTTTCATTAAATGTGACATTCTTGTGTCTTAGGATCTTTCTATTTTGATCATCCCAAAACCGATAACCACAATTATCATCACCATAGCCAATAAAGAAACATTTTTTAGCTTTAGGATCAAGTTTATCTCTATCATTAGAGTTTACATGCACATAAGCAACACAACCAAAAATATTCAGATGTGAGAGAGTTACCTCCTTTCTTGTCCATACNTTCAACATGTTTTAGGTTTGGCAACTTTTCTTTGGATGCCAAAAGCTTCATTCCCTTCTCACTCGTATGCCCGAGCCTCCAGTGCCACAATGTTGTATCATGACCATGATCAACTGTTGCTATAGTATCTCTCTGTATTGCAGTTGCATACAATGTTCCCCTTTTGAAGCCTCATGCCACAACCAAATTTCCTTTGGTTATCTTCCACAATCCGTTGCCGAATGTTGTTATATATCCTTCATTGTCAATCTGACCCATAGATATCAGATTTTTCTTGAGGCCAGGAACATGTCGTACATTTTGCAATTTCCATAGCGTTCCTTGTGAAGTCTTTATACGAACTTCATCTTTTCTGGCAATGCCGAAAGGTTCGCCGTTTGCGAGATAAACTTTCCCAAATTTTCCAGCAATATAATTATGCAATAATTCTTTGCATGATGCAGAGTGAAAGGATGCACCTGAGTCCAGAATCCAAGATTCGACTGGATTGTCTGTACAACAAATTAGTGCACCATCGACTTGTTCAGCAATTACATTTGCTAAATTTTCTTCCTTTTTCTTCTTGGTTCTCTACATTGACTATTGTAGTGACCCTTTTTATCGCAATTCCAACAAGTAATGTTCTTACGATTTTTGGATTATTCTTTTCTCCTTGACTTTGATCTGCCACGACCATAACTTTGTCCTCTTTGGTTGCTTCTCCCCCTGCTTTCGGTATTAAAAGCAGATCCTGGGGAATCACTTGATTTTTTTCGGCGAATATCTTCACTTAGAACCAAGTCTCTAATATCATTCAATTTGAGTTTGGTACTTCCTGATGAACTGCTAACTGCAGTTACTGTTGCGGACCAACTCTCCGATAGAGATGATAGTAGAATCAACGCCCTGATTTCGTCATCAATTGTTATACAGAACTCAACTGAGTTAATATTATATTAAACTCATTGATATGTTCCGTGACTGATCCACCTTCTGTCATCTTTAAGTTGAACAATCGACACATCAAATAGACTTTATTTGAAGCAGATGACTTCTCGTACATATTTGATAACGCCTTCATCAGGCCTGCAATGGTTTTCTCGTTAATGATGTTAAACGCCATATTTCGTGTTAGCGTAAACCGAATCACACCAAGAGCTTGGCGATCTAATAGATCCCAATCCGCTTTAGCCATAGTCTCTGGTTTCACCTGGGTCAGAGGTAATTGTAATTTTTTTTGTACAAATAATCCTCTATTTGCATTTTCCAGAATCCAAAATCTTTGCCATTCCAAAATCTTTGTCATTAAACTTGTCAATCTTAACCTTCCCTTCTTCCGATGCCATTTTTCACAAAAAAACAATTTATGTGAATATTGCTTGTGAATAGTAACGATGATCAATAGTATCGCATTATTCTTGTGAATAGTACCTGCACCAATACTGTACTTTTCTACTAGAAATACACTATCTGTGCTCTGATACCAGTTGTTAGGAAGCGTGTCAAGCTAATAGAAGGAAAAGAATA